ATTTTAGTGTCTTGAAAATGAATACATTGTGAAAATGGCTGTTTCTATATGGAAACATCAATTCTTGGGAAATTAGTCCAATTAATTAAAACCGGCATGCCATTCCCTCTGGTCGGTGCTGTGTCCCTGATACAAGTTGCAACTATATTACATTGTAGCAGAGAAGACATGAGTGTTATACAGCAAATGGAAGGCTAGCAGCACAAATTATCTTGTCAACAAAAGCATGTTTGGAGTTTACACAGCTGCTGGAAGAGTTACTAAACATAAAATTCGGGGATTTCTATGAAGAGGTAAACAGTTAAGCAGGTCTTCTGTTTATATGTTTAACTGTGATATTTTTTTTTGTAATTTTTTTTTTTATGTTCACACATAAATGAGGAATACCGTGAGGGAGATTTACTAAAACTGGTGCACACAGAATCTGGTGCAGCTCTGCTGAATAACCAATCAGCTTCCAGGTTTTAATGGCAAAGCTTAATGGAACAAGCTGAAGTTGGAAGCTGATTGGGTACTATGTACATTGGGTACTATGCACAGTTTTGTGTGCACCAGGTTTAGTAAATCTACCCCTGTGCCTGCTAATCTATGCAGTGTGTGAGTGTATGAAGTACAAATGTGAACATGAAGTCATATCCCCAATAAATAGGAGATCTGCCTGGTTGTGTCTATCTATCTATCTATCTATCTATCTATCTATCTATCTATCTATCTATCTATCTATCTATCCATCTACTATCTATATCTATCTATCTATCTATCTATCTATCTATCTATCTATCTATCTATCTATCTATCCATCTATCTATATCTATCTAGCTAGCTAGCTAGCTAGCTACTGTCCATCTACTATCTATCTATCTATCTATCTATCTATCTATCTATCTATCTATCTATCTATCTCTATCTATCCATCCATCCATCTATATCTATCTAGCTAGCTATCTAGCTACTGTCCATATACTATCTATCTATCTATCTATCTATCTATCTATCTATCTATCTATCTATCTATCTATCTATCTATCTATATATCTACTATCCATCTTCTATATACTGTCCATCTATCTATCTATCTATCTATATCTATCTATCTATCTATCTATCTATCTATCTATCTATCTATCTATCTATCTATCTATCTATCTATCCACCTATCTACCCATCTATCTATCTTTCTTTCTATATCAGCCCTATATATCCCCAGCATTCTGTAACACATCTGTGTGCTCTTTGTCTGTTCAATACACCCTTTGATGTACATTTGGCCTGAAACCATGCAGAAAATATCCAAAGTATTTACAACACTAGCCTCAAAAAGGAAAACCCGTTTGTTGAGCTCTGCACACAACTCTAAGCTCACCTGGAGGACTCCTAATGACTTCTTTGGGGGAAGAAGGAGTTGAGTAGCTGAAACACATGGTAAGAGATCGTGACTAGATTGCATGAAGCATTGGGCTCCTGGAATACTAATATCTCACAGGGTTTACCACAAGGCAGAAAGTGACTTTTTATGGGTGCATGCATTTTCCTATGATTGGGATTTGGGGTAACCCCAGGGATGCTGTTGTAAATTGTTGCTGCCCAAGTCTTCTGCTGTCAATCAGCCCCTTCACCCCGGACAGGGAGAGCTATGAGCTCGCATGAGTTAAATGTACAGACATCTGATGATAAACGCTTGCAGACATTGCGCATGCACTTCTATACCACTGACTTTCTTCAAGCCCACAAACTTTGAGTACATGCTCCTCTATACATGTCAGGGTGGCTGATTTGAGCTAAATTGCCTTGTAGGCACTCCCTTTTCTACAGCCTCAAGCACTGAACACCTACCAAGGTTCCTGACAGTTATATATTCATCCAAATCTTAGGACATTTTCAGCTAAAATAATAAATCTAAGACCAAGACCAACTGGGCAAGCTAAACTATACCTGGATTAAGTCGGTTCCACTAGAATGAACACTAGATTACCCTTACAGGAGAGCTACTGTTACACCCCTAAAATGCAAAAACTAATAATAAAATAGGCATGATACAAATCGGAAACGTTACCTTCAATCTTATATAGTTCTAAGAGAAAGGCAAAGAGCTCCCTCCATTAGCCTGGGGTGGTTTTGGCTGGTGAACCCTCATTCTCAGCTTTCACAAGGCGACGTAATCCACACTAAGCGCCTTGTCCCACTGTCCTAGCATTAAAGAGACCCAGCAGCTGCGATGGTGGACAGTTAAGATTATATATGATGTAAATACATTGTAGCTTTGTCAGCTCCCCCAAACCATAAAACTTACTTTAATGACATCACGTGCTCCAGAAGAACCATTCAGGGTCTTTCCTTATGGCCATCCACATAAATAACCTTTCAAAAAACTTTTAAACTACTAAATTCACATAGAATAGAAGCCAGAAGTATTTGCACTAATGTTCTCTCTTAAACTAAATGCAATGTCTTACAAAGACGTGGACTTATCATTTTATTAAGCCTTTGCCTAGGTAACCTTTCTAAAATAGAGGTCACAGTTTTTACAGGAAAGGTAAGTGGCCTTTTTCCCTTCCATTTTTAGACTTCTTTTCTGGAAGATGAGTCAGACATATAGTATAGACCGGTGGAATTGCCTTATTATTCAGCTCCAGCTGCCCTATGGTGTCAGCTATTTTGGCAGTCTACAGTAAAAGTGTACCTGATCACATCTTTAAGGAAGAATTATTTGGCTTTAATGTGTTGTCTAGGTGTTTGTTTGAATGGACATGGCCTAGGTTATTTTAGCAAGTAGAGCAAGTAATTGTAAGTTTGGGGTCACATTCAGCTACAAAGGTTCCCTAGTTTGCAGCTTCAAGGGGTCTCCAAAATATGAATCAATATTTAGAATATATGCCCTGACATATGTGGCTAGGTGCACTATCATTCTTGTATGGAGTATGTCAATGAGCCGAATTGTGTGTATTATTACTGTTGGCAAGAGCCACATTCTAAACTTACATTTTTGGGGGCTTGTGAGGCTTGGATCAATGAAGAGTCTTGGGTATTGGAAAGATGACGTCATCACAATGACAGGGGACGTTGGGCAGATGAAGGTGGCACTCATCTATCAAAAACATCAGGAAACCCAGCCTGACAAATAATCTATACCTGACAAACCAAAACCACAGCACAAGCTAATTACAGGCAAACCATCAAATGTACACTATTATTTTCAACAATGTGTGATTAAAGTAAAAAAAAATAGTTCAGCCCTAGGACTCATCTTCAAAGGGTTTTAGGCTTTCAATATCAGGAAGAACCTCTTTTGTCTCAACGTGTAAAGGAAGTGCCATAAAGTTTTATGGTGTTCAACTTATTCAAAGCATTTGTCCCTACTGTAAATAGTTCACTGGCCAGATTTACAGATAACAGAATCGGACCATCTTCTCAAGACTTTCTAAATCAGTTCTTGGGGTAGAAAAATTCACACCAAGTCAACCAGTTTGACCATGTGTGGAGTTTTTTAAGCTTTTTTAGCCTTACGTCTAGAGGCATCTTACTGACGTGAGTCAGCCCATAAGAAGTTTCAGTTCTGGAATAAACAGGTACGTCATTTATTTTAAGACTAAGTTTCCATATATTTAATTTCAGGCGTTTTTGGTTATATATTTATATATATTTATGCAGCATTTAACCATATATGTTAGTGAAAAAGGAATATATATATATATATATATATATATATATATATATGATACACAGGGCATCATTTCTTATCTGTACATAGCTATTAATTTGCAGTTAGGTTTAGTATGATTCCTTATTTTGATACAAGATATTTTACTTAACAGATGCTTGACATACGATCCTGTTATATCTATGCTCCTATATTAGGTTATCCTTATACATTGTTAAACCTCTTTCAATAGCCAGTAATATGCAAGAAAAAAAAACATAGTTGCTACCACAGGTTCATCTGTTATATTACTTGCAGTTTATTCAATATGACAAAATATAAGATTCATGATTTTCACATATGAAACTGAAACCAATAAATATATGAGTTACATTATCGCAGAAAACTGGCTAAAAATGATTATATTAAACAATGAAGTACAAATCGTTTTATACACTTCAGCATTAATAACGCAAAATAAAGAAAAAAAAGATGTAAAAAAAACCACAATAAATTACACATGAAAATAATTCTGGCGATTTGTTCCCTTCCAGAATGCCAAAATGAGGCAAACTAAAATCCTGCACACATACACTGTATAACTAAGTATACCATAGTGTGTGGGCAAAGGGTAAGGATAGGTGGGCACATATTTGACCCTAAGGAGGAAAAACATAAACACTACTATTAAAATTAGACATAAAAACAAATTCACGCTGTAGTGTGTGACACATATTTTTTTTTAAGACTATACAAGTGCATGGACACATCTTAGTGGATTTTACACACTCATGTGTGTATGTACAATACTATATAACAAATGGCAAAGTTTCAGCTTGAAACTTTATACTTGTTTTTTTTTTTTTATTGTTTGTATTTTCCAAATCTAACTGGTTGCCAAAGATATGACCCCTATTATAATAAGCACAATATAATACAGCCACTCTTTGCCTGCCCTTTTCAGCCTAGTATCCCAATTAGCATTTTTTTTCCCCAAAGAACTTTCCTTGACCCTGGACAGATTGCACAGTTAGTACAATGACGCCTGGGCTAGGAAACTATACAAGGAGCTGCCTCAACAATTTTTTTCCTCCACATTTTACACCTTGAAACTGACATTAGCCAAAATAATAATGGATAAAATACAGATCTATACACTATTTTTTTGCTTTCAAAATATAGGGGTGGTGGGGGGGGGGCTGTCTTGTGTTAGAGGTGTTAATCAACTCAGATTCCCTGTAGTTATTTTACCTTCCCTTGATCCCATCCACCTCCTTGACACAAAAGGCAAAAAAACAAAAAAGTTTCTTTAAGATGTAGTCAAACTAAAGTTTAAATATCTAACTCCTTTGAGGTCGCCATTTTAAAGGGAGTCTTTGGTTTTGACTTTACAATCCTTCTTCCACTTCATCCTTCGGTTTTGGAACCAGATCTTGATCTGCCTCTCGTTTAAACATAAGTTGTTGGCTATTTCAATGCGCCTGCGACGTGTCAGGTATCTGTTAAAATGGAATTCTTTCTCTAGTTCCAGGGTTTGGTATCGAGTGTAGCTTGTTCGGGAACGCTTGCCATCAGTTTCTAAGGAGGAGAAGGTAGTAGGGGTATATACATTTAGCATATAATAATAGTCATAACGCCTAAAAAAATATAAAAGAATAATGAAAAAAACCCATAAAAATAAAATGATGCCTGCCCAGGCGGGACCTAATACACACAAGGCTGCATGCATTTATTTACACCCACATGCATATGTTTATTAGATTGTTTAGTACAGCATAAAGTTACCTTAGTAAAATACTTAGGTCACCAAAAAGCTGATTTTTTAAACCTTTCCTTTGATTGCAAAGTTTTTTTCTGAGCAAAATTAACTAAACAAGTTTATATGATTTTTTTCCTGTAAAAAAATCATTTTTCCCCCTTCTCCCTAAAAATGGAATTATTGTCTTTTCTACACGTTTTGTTCCTATGATCCAATTATGCTGTCATAAATTTGGACGTCTATAGCCTGTAAGCCTTTTAGTGGACAGTTTTACGAGCAATTGATGCCTAAGTCGTAAAATTTACGACCTCGGGTTTTTTTTTTTATTATTTGCCCCGTATGGCCTATAAAAACCAATGCAAAAAAAAAAAAACCCCTATGAAACAAAAGCGAGAAGTGAAAGTTTACCATGGCTCATGTGCAGTTTGGTCATCCAGGGGTATATTTGGGGTGGGCTGCTGCTGCTGCTGCTGCTGCTGCTGCTGCGTCTGCTGTGGCTGTGCCTGTGGTGGTTGTTGCTGTCCTTGTGGAGTTGTTTGTACCGGTTCTGATTTGATGTTCTCAATCCCTTTAGATCTGTCCTCCAACGAAGTGCTCCCCGCTTTCTGATTGTAAATCCCAGGGCTGAGGGCACCTTGCTCTCCTCTACCCAGTGTGTGCCCCGAAGTGCCCATGACATTACAGGAAGGCCGATCAGAGTTTGTAGTGGGGTTTGAAGGCATGTCCAGACCGTTTAGAGAGTTTGAAGAACCCGGAGATGGGAATGTAATGCTCAGATCCAACCCACTGTAGCAATACCTGGATGAAGGGACCTCGGATACAGATCCATAATTCCCATAACTTTGCATGGAATAGGCTGGAACATTTTGACTCTGCTTATAGAATGAATTGGCTACGTACGAGCTCATGGCTGATTATTATTATTATTATTGTTATTTTTTGCACCCTTTGATTAGGCTTGATTTGTGGCCCTTTGAAGTTCAGGGGTTTTGTTCTCTAAAGTGCAGAATTTATAGCTGGAATCCTCTTTCTTTATTCTATGTGCTCTGCCCAAATATGGGATGTTTAAATAGAATCACGTGACTCTGTTGGCCAGTCATAAATTTGGCTTGATGACCCCAGGAGGTTATTGATGGAAGCCTGTGAAACGTATCTGATATGTTGGCAGAACAAACTAAAGGCCCCAAGTCGAAAAAAAGAAGACAATGAGGCCACAGCGTCACCTGGTGCCAGTAGGGTGGTAAAGCGCCTGCTAAATATGGCTGCATCGAGAAGCCACCATTGGGGTGTGCTAGGTCAATGGGTGACCAACTAAACCTGGATTTTACAACAATATAACTATATCAATAATTTATTTACAATACGGTTGACCACCCATTGAACAAGGAACCCTAATGGTTGCAATTTCCCCAAGGATCGGGTATTTTGCCTTTCACGAACCAGGAGACATTGCTCTTTTTTCCGCCTCTGGTTGATTTTACGGAAAATCCACTCCAGTGTTTTTTTTTAATAACTAATATTTGCATAATAATTTTTTGCTCCCTCTACATGGGCTGTTTTAGTGGATGTGTCTCTATAATATTTAACAAACAGACACACCAGGGCATTAAAGTCCATCATTTAAAGGGGAAAAGTGACTTGTTCCATCTTGACATGGGGGGCTATAGATCACAAATAATACTCCATATTTCCACTATCCCCTTCTATATGTATTTATAAATTACAGACTGCATCTGATAAGAGGAACAAAACACGTGTTTTAAAGAGATCTGGGTGTCTTTCTTTGTTCAGTCTGTTTTTTTTGGTCTGTTGGTTGAAATGCAGATCCTTATCTAACAAAGCATCCTCTAAACATACGTGTGCAATAAATATTTGTGTTTTTGATCACTGGAGAGAAAGTTCAGGTCTCTGGTTCTCTGTTGTGCTTGAATGATCACAAGTCCTCAAAAGTCACTTTATTTACTGAAAAAATTCAACGTGTGGTATCCGGCTTCCATACTTCACTATCCTCACTATAAATACATGCTAATGGCATGGAGATGGGGTGTTTTTTTATTCTTTTTTTTTCTGGAGGAACAGATCAAACTATTCTCCATATATATAATATTTATTTCAAGGTGAAAAGTTCAGCTAGCACAGAATTGGATTATCTGTGATGGTTGCAAAGCCTAAATTTAATATAGCAGAAGAGAGTGGAATTAACCTAATACCCCCAAGGATTTCTATAGGAATATATTGGCTTAGTGGATTTCACTTACATGTATATTTATATTTATTAATTACACATACTTTTCTTTTTACTATATGCTAGATCTGAAAAGTATTGGGCTTAGAGTTTCATTTACATGTGTTTTTATATATATATTATTTAGAAGTATTTTTTTTTTTTTTTTTGCTATAGGCTAGATCTGAAATGTATGGGGTTTAGAGTTTCATGTGCATGTATATTTATATATATTATTTACCTGTACTTTTTGCTTTACCATAGGCTAGATCTGAAAAGAATGGGATTTAGAGTTTCCTTTACATATATAGTTTTATATATATGTTATTTACATGTACTTTTAATAATAATACTATTGGCAAGATCTGAAAAATATGGGGTTTAGAGCTTCATTTACATGTACAGTTACATACATTAATTACGCATACTTTTATTTTATAGGCTAGATCTGAAAAGTATGGGGTTTGGAGCGTCATTTACATGTATAATTATAAATATTATTTACTTGTACTTTTCTTTTTGCAATAGGCTAGATCTGAAAATGGGATTGGATATATGTATATATATATATATATATATATATATATATATATATATATATATATATATATATATACTTTTATGTTAACTATAGCCTAGATCTGAACAGTAGTGGGTACAGAGTTTCTTTATATTTACATATACTAATTACACACACTTTTCTTTTTACAATAGGCTAGCTCTGAACAGTATTGGGTACAGAGTTACATTTGCATGTGTGTATATATATATTATTTACATATGTGTTTCTTTTTACTATAGGCTAGATCTGATAAGTATAGGGTTTTGAGTTTCATATATACATGGATATATATATATATATATTCCATGTACTTTTCTTTTCTTTTTACTCTAGGTTAGATCTGAATAGTATTGGGTACAGAGTTTTATTTACATATATATATTTATATATATTATATTTTATTTACATACTGCTCTTTACTATGGGCTAGAACTGTAAAATACTGGGTATAGAGTTTCATATATATATATATATATTCCATGTACTTTTCTTTTCTTTTTACTCTAGGTTAGATCTGAATAGTATTGGGTACAGAGTTTTATTTACATATATATTTATACATATTATATTTTATTTACATACTGCTCTTTACTGTGGGCTAGAACTGTAAAATATTGGGTATAGAGTTTCATATATATATATATATATATATATATATATATATATATATATATATATATATATATATTAAATAGAGGAACCTTTCTTTTATACCATAGGCTAGATCTCAAAAATATTGAAAAATATTGGGTATGAGTTTCTTATTTCCCCCTCACCTTTCCTTTTTCTGCCTAAAAGTCAGGTGTCACTAGGTTTTTGTAAATTGTTTTGTTATGTACTATTATGATAGATTGCATTACATGCATCTACATAGCTATCAGGCTTTGATTCTAAAGATTTTTAAATGGGTGGTTTAAGGTGACAGTAACTCAAGGCAGTTATGACTCAGTGGAACTACATATACCCTGAGTAGTTTGGATTTTAGAGGTTTCTGTAGCTATATGACGTGTATATGTACATAATGGAAAAAAGGCTCTAGAGGATCCTGGTCACCTTTGATGAGTCACATAAGGTCCAGAATGACCTGACACATGAAATCCATGATCCCAAGTGCCTATGAAAGGCTTGTGTTTGCTGGGGGCACATGTTTAAAGGCAGACAATGCACGTGTTTCGGAAGTTAGCATGAATGCAGCATAATATATCTTTATTGTAGTATGGAATAGAGGCACAAAGGGCTCTGATAGAGAAGAGTGAGCTTTTCTGATCACAGGGAAGGACATTCTACACAAAGCCTTGTCTCTGCTGACATTGTGCACCCTAAAAGAAACAGGATGAGTCTATTTCCAGGCAATGAAAACGTACGACCATGTAAAAATAATATCAATTTTATTAAATACTCAACAGTTTGTCCATAGGACGTGATCTTTATACATAGTCAGTGGAACACGAGAAAGTAACCATTATTCTACAGCTAGGAAACTTCATTTTACGAGCTAATATTGAACATTGCAGTGCTGACATAAATATAAATACTGACACCACGGGCACAATGAAAAATAAGAGTCACACGGTAACTGTCACAGTATGGAATATGGAAGATCATCCAAAGAATCGTTTTGAATACAGTCAAGCTAGTTTTTTGGGGGGAAGGTGGGTGGGTGGGGGGCTGATGGTATATTTAGGTGTCCACGGCTCATGGGAAGAGGGATCAGGAGAGTTTAGCTTTTTTTTGGGAGGTATGAATCCTCTCTTCACATTGGAAGTGTGCAAGCTCCATCCCAAACACACACATATACAGGCAACGTCTGTCACAGGATTATTCTCCTTTGTTCGCAGGCAATGTTTGTTTACAAGGAAATGTGTGACTTTGGAATACTGTCTTTGTTTTCAAAAGTTTGAGGACAACATGACACAGAGACTCAAAGCCAAAGAAATGAAAGGGTGGACGTAGGCTGGCCAAAGCTCATACTTTGTTTTGTTGCAGGTTCTATTCCCTCAATGGATTCATAGATTATATATATAGAGTCCACAAGTGGCTGTATATAAAAAAAAGATGGGAAGATATATATTTTCTGTATTTCTATATTTGTTTCCGTAATGCAGCCCATCCAGATGAATTCTGCCAGCTGAGGGGGGTGGGTGGAGGAATCGTAGAAGGGATTGCTGGTGGGTGGAAGCCCCCTTGTTCCTTCACTCTTTGGGCTGGTCTTCTGTGTCTTCTCGCTTCTCCTCTTTCCCCCCGGCCAGGCTGTCAGCAGTAGCCCCAGTGCTCCCCGTCAGGGTGGAGGTCAGGTTGCTCTCCTTTTTCCACTTCATCCTCCTGTTCTGGAACCAGATTTTGATCTGACGCTCCGTTAAGCAAAGTGCATTGGCGATTTCAATCCTTCTGCGTCGGGTCAGATAACGGTTGAAGTGAAATTCCTTCTCCAGCTCCAAGGTTTGATAACGGGAGTAGATCTGGCGACCTCGCCTTCTGTCCGTTCCATAGCCCACCCCTAGGGATTCAGACACAAGACAAACTGAGAATAATTAGTGAGAAAACCCTCAGAATACCTGCACCCTAGTCTATACCAGCATACCCACCCATCCATACACCCACTGCAGGCACTACACTCAGAGCCCCAATAAACAAGTTCTCTGAACCAACACTAAAAAAAAAAAAAAAAAAAGTAACTTTTTTCTGTTTAAATTCTATGAAAATGCACACGAGCTAACATAACAACAGTTTTCTTTAAATTAATAAAAAGACAGATATTTTTATTTAACTTTTACCACCCCCAAAAAAAAAAAAAAACAAAACAAAAAAAAAAACCTCGTTGAACTTTATGACATATATTTGAAACTCTCAACGTCTTTTAATTAGAAAGCACATAACAAGCCATATTTGCTTGCAACAACTTAACAAATAAAAGGCCTATAACAGCAACTGTGAAAGGAACTACTTTATGGCTTTTATGAGGCCATAAAAAAAGGAACTGAGCCTGTTCTTCTAGGGAGATGATCGTAAAGATCGTTCAGTTTATTTAATTTATATCTTCAAGCTGTAAAACTTACCACTATGGGAGTTCATGCGCTGCATCCAAGGATAGATCTGTATGCTAGTTTTCTGTTCCTGGGCATTGGTTCTGTTTTGGTCACTGTTAAAATCCTGTGCAATTGAAGTCTGTGTATTGTGTCCCATAGAATTCTGCCTGCAGCTAGTAAGCATGTCCTTTTCCTGGTAAAATGCATTAGATCCATACTCATAGGGGCCCCGGCTGGAGCTGAAAACAACATTATCTTGCGGTGTGTAAAATGGTGAAGAGTAGATCCTATTTTGAGCAACCGCTGCTCCATAAGTGGAAAAATGCCTAACAGGGTCATAGGCAGTTGAATTAAGGGCCACATTTGGTAGAACTTCTTGGCCACTAGCTAAATGGCAGGATAAAGAGGGGTTCGTGAAATAGGAATTCATATCTTCTCCTTTACCTGCCTGTAAGATTTCTTTAATATTTATTTCTGTCTCCAGTTTGTAGTCTGAACTAGATTGTTATAGGGACGGCTCCACTCCAGGACAGACAAAATGACAAAGTCAGCTGACCTGCCTGGAGCCAATAGGAGGCGAGATGTCAAGAGAGGAAAAAATTGGTTTTGCTTGTGTTGATTCCCTAGCTGAAAGTATACATTCAAAGTAAGTCTTAGAATTAGAAATATAAAATTAGTTTGGGAGGAGGTAAAAATCCTTCAAGTAGCTTTGGGACTTAGGAGTAAAGTCTCCAGAGAACGCGGCAGTTTAAATCCGATTTACATTTTATCCCCATAGAATTTCACGTTCTTCTTAATAGAATCTAATGTATGCAAAAGCATTTGGAACTTAGCAGACATGTAACTCCCACAGACGCGTGCAGAGTCACAGACTACATCAAATATAGGAGCATATGCATGCAGCCAGCTATATCTATCTATATATCCATCTATATCTGTGTGTATATATATCTATATATAATGTGTGTGCGTTCAAGTGCATAGGCACCTCCATTATAACACTGCCCAGCTATTGCAAGGTATTTACAAACATATTTACAAACATAACATACGTTTTCCAGACAAGACAAGTGTTTAATATGATTTAACCACCCTTAGATTCTCATTCATTAAAACACCCTCAGTGGTACTTACCTGAACGTTAAGCTTTTGCCCACAACCTGTATTATATGTGTCAATTGCATCCACATGCTAATTAATGATTATCTCTGTAGTAGGAATGAAAGAATGCGGCCAGTAAAATTATTGTATTGCTCCTAGCATTTTTAGTCCATAGATTTGATGTTTTGCCCCCGTTGCCTTTGCTTGGCTGCTTTATAATTAGAAAGCTTTAAACCGTGAGGCTTTTGTAAGGTCTGATGAGATCACAGGAAATAAAAAAAAAAAACTACATTTCAATGGCAGGGGGTCTGAGCATAGTAGGTTGTAATGTGTTTATGGCTACACATGTATAAAGTCATCGTGTGTGCAATGTGGCCATCTATGATATCTTTAATGACCTAACTGAAAAAAAAAAATAATAATAATAGTAATTCCAATAAAAAAGGGCATGATTGGTAGATAAAAAATAAAAATGAGATCCCTGAATTCCTTGGACAAGAGCATTGTGAGTGCAGTTGCTAGAACACTCTCTTGTGTCAAAAGCTATTCCTAATGGCTACTATTTGTGAAAGTTACAAACAGCAATATTTTTTCAGGGCTGAAGAGAAACCCGGATGCTGAAGGATTTTACGATCTTTTTCCTGTGACCAACAAAGCGAAATGGTGGCTGTTAAGCCATAAAGAGGAGAACAGAGGAAAAGGGGTCGTTTATTGCCCTGGTATAACACCAACAGTCCCCTGAGTGCAGGCAACAGCTCAAAAATAAAGTTTAAGCAAAATAAAACGACCATTTGAGGCAGAGATTAGACAAGCAGTGCCTGGGACACCCTCCTGCAAGAAAGGTTTGTGGAACAAAATGTATATAGTTCTAGCAGGGGGGTTATTCAGTATATTCACTTCTAGAAAGGTGAGGGGAAGGGGATGGCAAATGTCTTCAGAAATTGAATTCCTTATTGTTTACTATTATGGTCGGCTTTCCTGTGTTAGAACACTGGTAACCCAGTATCAAAAATTGCCAGCAGCTGGCACCATATTTTCACCTAAAACACGTTTTATAGCTAGTTATTTCATGCTAGGGAATACATAGCTATTTTACTGCTTCCTTTGCACCTAAGTTTATATATATAAGTTTATATGTGTGTGTGTGTGTAACTTTATATATATAGATATATATATCTATCTATCTATCTATCTATCTATCTATCTATCTATCTATCTATATCTATATATATATATATATATATATATATATATATATGTGTGTGTGTGTGTGTGTGTGTGTGTAAGTTAGTAATTTAATACTAGGGAATAAATACATAGTTATATCACTGCATTCTCTTTAAACTTGGGCAAAATATATATAAAGTTGTGTGTGTGTGTGTGTGTGTGTGTGTGTGCATATCTACTGTTTTTAAAGCATATAACATTGTATATGTGTTAATGTGTGCATGTGTGTCTGTATAGCTAGTCATTTTATGCTAGGAAGTACATAGCTATTTCACTGCATTCCTTTTCGCCCAAGTTTAATATATATACATGTGTGTGTGTGTGTGAGAGAGAGAGAGTGGGTGTATGAGTACACATCACCTACTGTTTCTAAAGTATATAAAATGGTATATGTGATAATGTGTGCATACGTGTGTATAGCTAACTATGTAATGCTAGGAAGTACATAGATGCATCCCATTGTTTATCTAGCTATCCATCTATCTGTGTGTGTATATATGTGATTGTATATACACCACCTACTGTTTCTATTTCGTATATGAAATGTGCATATGTATGTGTATATGTGTGTATATATATATATATATATATATATATATATATATATATGTATATGTGTGTGTTTTTTTATATATATATATATATATATATATATATATATATATATATATATATATATATATATATATATATATATTAGATACAAAAATACATACACACATCTGTATGATATAATATATCGATCTTATCATTGCTGCTATAACATGGTGGTTTGGTGGGTGTGGTTTGTAGCTGGATGTTTCTCCCAAGATTATAGTGCTAAGCTATAAACCATTTGATTGCTTTTTAGAGTCTTATTTCATTGCCCACTTATCAGCTTATCTCGTATTTATTGTACAGTATGGTTGGGATTTGCAGTAAAACCAGTGGGCCCCCAGCCGCTCAATCTGCTTTTACTCTTTGTTATATTATAAGGACCTCTCTCTCTCTCTCTCTCTCTCTCTCTCTCTCTCTCTCTCTCTCTCTCTCTCTCTCTCTCTCTCTCTCTCTCTCTCTCTCTCTCTCAATTTCTCCTCTCTCTCAATTTCTCTCTCACCTCTGCTCTATTCTTTTTATAATTAAGTTGTTTTTTCTTCCCCTTCATGTTAAACTTAACAAAAAAGTGCAAGGATTGTTTTGGGAGAAAGGACTTTTGGTATTTAAAGGATTTCACCGAGCCAGTTCTGGTCTATAATAGTGCCTCTCTTAGAAGAGAAAGTTAAGTGTTTTATTACATCTATAAGCAAAGGGCAAGCCTTAAAGCACTCGTCGATTTATGGGGAGTAGAAAACTGGCTACCACATGCAACTTGAAGTAACAAAGGGAAACCATGGTTTAGGCAATTTCATCATAGCAAATTGGGGGGAAAGAGTTTTAAACCATCAAAATAATAAAATAATAATAATAATAATAATAATAATAATAAAAACTATGAGCTTGAGTCTATGTAGCTAGAAGTAGCTTGGCTACTGTGGTGCGCCACGGATACATTGAAAATGGTTTTTCCCTATAAAAGTATGTACTATTTTCCATCCCAGTTTTGCATGCAGTTGTAATTGCCTTGGAGGTATACTCTGTAAAAATCGAATCCCAGCACAATTATGTAAACTCAGCAGAATATAAAAGAGCAGATGTTTATGAATCCACCCTAGTGTACTGGAGCCATGGCTGCATGTAGTTCTTTCTCTATCTTCCCCCAAGACTAGTAAGTCTTCTTAAGCAAACACTGTCTACTAAACAACCAGATATCTGCAATCACAGGTACGTGGATCGATTGATATCTCTCCATATTTATTTTTTTAATCCAATGTATTTTCTCTTCATCTTCCTAATACCATTGAATAGTGAATTTCTCTGCTCTATAAAGTTATGTAATTTAGGGATTGATTATCTGATGGAAAATAACCTGTGAAATAATTGCCTCAACACACGTGTTTTCTATATCCTCCCCAATTAAAAGAAGGAAACAGAGTTTCTGAAGCCAAAGTTCCCTGTGTCAGAGTAAATTTCATCACTTTAACTTCATCTTAAGGTTTAAAAAAAGTCTTCTTAAGGCTGAGTTAACGACTGAATGTAATTATTTACATCCTAAACGCAGCATAAACATATAGGACATCTACTCGATGTTCAGGCTCCTGGTCTTGCAATAAACACATAAAATGATATAATGGTGGAGGATACGGAGCTATATTTAAACCGGTATGAACATAAACTCCATTTCTGTTTTGCATTTTGTGTTATAAAGTGAGATAGTAAATCCGTGGACTTGCAGTTGAGACTTGCATGAGAAGTTAGAAAGACACTGGTGTGTAATTAATAGTGAGTTGTATTGTTGGACATCACATAGCCGGGATAAAACACTAAGCACCTTTCTCTTCACCTTTTTAATTTATATTTGTAATTTACAGCCCATCTGGCTGCATGCGTTTTATTTATTTATGACCTTGCATTGAGCTTAGCCCAGTACCTTCATTAAAGCTGCAGTACGTTGTCCGAGTGCATTACCTGCCTGCCAGCCTCTTATTAAAGTCATCCTGTGAAGTTGGGGGGCTATTTGGGGCTGTGTGACTTTGTTATTTTTTTCAGGGGTATAGGGACACCCAGATTATGGTTCTAAAAGGTATTCTGCATGTTTGATCGATCTTTACCACGGTCTGTTTTCTAATGTAATTTTCTTAAGTGTCCCTGGGCTACACTGGAATTTAATACGATTCTAATCCTGGAAGTAATCTGGGAAAGACACAGAATTAAAATGGCAATAAAAGAGTTAAGCCATAAATAAGACTAATTTTAATACATATGAGTATGTTTAAACGCTACTCAAACATAGGAACCAGGCTGACACATGTACACAAAGACTAGAAAAGGTAACCATTCACTATCAAAATAAAATCTAATATTTACTGATACTGCACTTGAGGAGAAGGCTCATCCCTGAACATTGGCCAAAGTTTTAAGAAGCCTTTGAAAAACATGGAGGATTAAATAAATTCAGCAGTAAACAGCTATTGCCTGCAGATAAGTAACACTACAGGTTGTAAAAAAAAACGATACAAAGACTAGAAAATGTAACAAATTACTAAATAAATCCAATGTTTACTGAT